GTTAATCAGTTTCAGTTGCTTCGGTGTTCATGAAATTAACAACAGGTGCATTATATGGGCAACAATGAGATGACCCCCAAAACAGGAATGGTTTTACAGGTGGAGGCCATTGACATTTTTTTCCCCTACTCAACTTTTATGACTGTTTTTCACTAGTTTTGGCTAGGGTCAGTGTCACTGCTGGTAGCATGAAGTGATACCTGGACCCTACAGAGGTTGAACAAGGCAGTCCAGCGCCTTCAGGATGGCACATCAATATGTGCCATTGCCAAAAGGTTTGCTGTGTCTTCCAGCACAGTCTCAAGAGCATGGAGGAGATTCCAGGAGACAGGCAGTTACTCTAGGAGAGCTGGACAGGGCTGTAGAAGGTCCTTAACCCATCAGCAGGACTGGTATCTGCTCCTTTATGTATGTAAGATCAAACCGCACAAATCCCCAGTCAACTGAAGTCACAAAGCTCCAAGTATATAAGAGGATATCATCTCTTAAAAAGTCAATTTAAATGGATACTGCGCTAGGTGAACCCTTGTACCTTTTGCTAGCACTATGAAGACCTTCACACCTCTGAAAAGTGATAAAAAAAAAAAAAAAAAAAAAAAAAAAAACTATGATAGTTAAACTAAATAAGTGCATACATATGCACTATGAAGGCCCTTGCCCCTCTAAAGGGCAATCAACATTTAAGAAAAATCAAATGAATAAACTAAGTGGGTACAATAATCATACATACATATGAAAAACTGTGATATGTGGTGAAATTAACCTACAATTTCATGCATTATCTATGAACCCTATGAAGACCCTCACACCTCTAAAGAGTGATCGAGGTTGAGGATAGGTCAAATCTCAAAGTGCAATTATATTCACCTCAAATATACATAAAGTTTAGTGGAAAAGTGTCCAAAACACAAAAAAAAATAACAAAAAGTCCATATAGAAATAAACCATAGTCCATAGATAGAAGAACATTCCACAATCGATGGGATTATTGTAGACAATGCTGTAGGTGCAAATGTAGATAAACTTGCTTCAACTGGTCACCAAAGTGCACCACCAGCAAAGTAACAAATGGAGGTTTACCAGAAATGGAGACCCCTTAATTACAGGGGGTCCCAGTCAGCTTTTTAATGTAAAGCACTGGCAAGCTTCCCGTATCACACCCCAAAGCATGGAACTTCCTGGACTCCAACTCAAATGTAAAGTCAAAGTGTAATGCCAGACAAGGTCATGAAAGAAAAAAACATGCCTCTCATAGTGCAATACGTGTCAAAAACTTCTTTATTTGCGCAAATTGGATCCTACTTACAAGCTGTGGAACAATTAAAAGCATTCACATGAACCATATCCAAGATGGCCAACAGCACAATGATGTCAGAGGGAGGCTCAGCCCGACGCGTTTTGTCATCAAAAGACATCCTCTAGGGGCCCTTAGTGGTGTAAAGCATGCCGCCACTTGACTCTAGAGCAGTGAAGACATGTTCTTTGGAGTGATGAATCACGCTTCTCTGGCAATCCAATGGATATGTCTGGGTTTGGCGGTTGCCAGGAGAACGGTACTTGCCTGACTACATTGTGCCAGGTGTACAGTTTGGTGGAATTATGGTGTGGGGTTGTTTTTCAGGTGTTGGGCTTGGCTCCTTAGTTCCTGTGAAGGGAACTCTTAAGATGTCAGCAGGGGTGGACTAACAACTCATGGGGCCCCCGTGCAATAGGGGATCATGGAGCCCCTGTGTCCTCGCCCACACCCAAAAAAGCCTATGAAAATGCCAATGAAAGGTACCAGGGGCATCTCATGGGGCCCCCTACTGACCCTGGGCCCTCGGGCAGTGCCTAAGTGCTTGAATGGTCAGTCCGCCCCTGGATGTCAGCATTCCAAGACTCTTTGGACAATTTCATGCTCCCAACTTTGTGGGAAGAGTTTGGGGATCGCCTCTTCCTGTTCCAACATGACTGCTCACCAGTGCACAAAACAAGGTCCAGAAAGACATGGATGAGCCAGTTTGGGGTGGAGGAACTTGACTGGCCTGAGTCCTGACCTCAACCCCATAGAACACCTTTGGGATGAATTCGAGTGGAGACTGTGAGCCAGGCCTTCTCGTCCAACATCAGTGCCTGACCTGACAAATGCTCTTCTGGAAGAATGGTCAAACCTTCCCATAGACACCCTCCTAAACCTGGACAGCCTTCCCAGAAGAGTTGAAGCTGTTATAGCTGTAAAAGACGGGGCCAAATCAATATTGAACCCTACGGACTAAGACTGGGATGCCATTAAAGCTCATGTGTGTGTAAAGGCAGGTGTCCTAATACATTTGGCAATACAGTGTGTGTATATATATATAACTTCAGCTTGTTCAATTAAGTTTCAACAATAAAACCTGGAAGCTGATTAGTTTCTATCCAGAGCTGCACCAAATTTTGCACCATGCAGTTCCAATAAATAACCTCCTAATGCCCCGTACACACGATAAGAAAATTGCACGAAAATTTTGCGGAACCACTGATTGAACAATTTTCTCTTCGTCGATGAGCAGGATGTTTTAAACGAATAACGATATCGTGAATTAAAAAATCCGGTTGAACATCAGTGAAAAAAGTTGTCGTTTCGCATACGAACGACCGATTTTCTATGCGGTGGTATGACGGTCATACGAAAAAATCTATCAAGTGCTATCATGCATGAGCGGAAATGGAAGATGTTTATGTCCAAGGAATCTTCAGAAACACAAACGAAAAATCCAAATGTTAAAAGTAGATTGGCCGAATGAGATGATGAAACCAGAATTCTGCAGATTATATTTTATGTATCACTATTTATGTATATAGGTCATGTAATAAACGATATTATACTCATTGCTGGTAATTGTTGTGTATATTGCTTGTTCTGGCCAGAAGGGCGTGGCTACAAGGTCACATGCACACCGCATCACTTCCACTTGTACGGAACACGTCAACACTACGTATTGCCCACTGAACAATTTTTTTAGATTGGTTAATGTGGGCCCTGATTTCGACCGAACGCTTTTCAGTCATCGGATGAACGATTGGTCGATTTTCTAATCGTGTATTCCCACCTTAAGTCTGTGTCCCCATTGGAAGGATTCACCTCTCAGTTTTATACGGACAAGCACTGTAACTGAAAAAGTGATGGGATATTTTAGAGTTGTTCACAAAACATGAGATAGCGGAGGATGGTCTAATGGGGACCCCTTATTCTGGGGACAACTAAAAACAAACTTCCCTTCACTTTGAAGATTTATTCAAACTTCCTGTTGTGTCTCTAAGGCAGCAATTGAAGGGAAATTTCCCCAATGGTACGCACAAAGCACAAAAAATACACTGGTGGTGGGATTAAATACCTTACAAAAGATGGCCACTGCCCCAGTCTATAACTGGCCTACACAGCAAGGAGCACATGGAAGGGCGACGCATGTCAAACAGCAAAAAAGAAAAATTCCCAGCTCTAACTTGCCAGCCAGCCTGCAAACAAACCGAATTTACCTAACAGTATGCGATAAAAAACGGGGGTTTCATTAGTGCACATTTCCAAATACATGCGTAAGCTACAGAACCTCGTCATGGCTCCTAACTCTACAATTTTAAGAGCCCCCATAGTAGAGGCACATGCAGGGGCGGACTGAGCATTTGGAAACTCGGGCACTGCCCGAGGGCCCGGAGTCATTAGGGGACCCCATGAGATGCCCCTGGTACCTTTTTCATAAGCTTTTTTGAGTTTGGGCAAGGACACAGGGGCCCCATGATCCCCTATTGCCCAGGGGCCCCATGAGTTGTCAGTCCACCCCTGGGCACATGTATTGAATACATGAATACTGGGGTGCCATGACGTGGCTCGGCAGCTTACGTATGTATTTGCAAATGTGTGCTAACTAAACCCCTGTTTTTAACGCATACTGTTAGACAGGTTAATTGGGTTTGTTTGCAGGCTGGCCAGCAAGTTAGAGCTGGGAATTTTTCTCTTTTGTTGTGTTGCCCTTCCATGTGCTCATTCCTGTGAAGGCCAGTTATAGACTGGGGCAGTGGCCATTTTTTGTACTGTTGAATTGTTGGTCGAGGGGGCGCACTAGACACCTTAGTTGCCATTGTGCTTTATGCTGGGTGTCCAGTGCGCTCCTGTAACTTTGAGGGGTGGGCTCCCTCAGGTCCATCTGCCCTTGGTCTATCCATTAAATACATGTGCCTCTACTAAGGGGGCTATTAAAATTGGAGAGTTAGGAACTACAAAATATCGGGGTGCCATGACGAGGCTCTGTAGCTTACACGTGTGTGCAAATCTGTGCTAACTAAACCTCTGTTTTTAATGCACACTGTTAGGTTAATTTGGTTTGTTTGCAGGCTGGCTGACAAGTTAGAGCTGGGAATTTTTCTTTTTTGTTGTTTTGGATTAAATACCTCCCAGCTTTCTGAAATGATAAAGAAGGACATCTTTTAGTAGACATTATATAGTTAAAGGACACCCATGGTTGATGGAAAGATGATTGCAAAATGTGTGGCCTGCTTTAGTAGTAAAATAGTTATTTGTTTAGAGATGAACACATCAGACCTGAAAGATGGACAGCTGAGGCTGCACAAGAGACAGAGGGATTTGATCTCTAAAGAGGGACAGTTGGGATTTATGGGTTTCTCCTTCCTTTCTCTATCCAAAACTAAACAAAACTGACTATATATCCACGATCGTTTCATTATCCCTAATAAACATTCATCTTGCTAAGCAAACAAGCGCTGCTGATTTAGGGTGCAGTCACACTTGGGGATGCACCCGGTCTGTGATCAGCTGTGAGAAACCCAACAAACGGGGGTTCCTGCTGTTAGCTGTAAGTAGACAGCCCCATTGAAAGCAACGGGAGACGGCCAGCTCCTGCTACTGATTGCTCCCACCCACACCACATATAATTGGTCAAGCAGCTGATTGCAGACAGGCGCATTCACAAGTGTCAATCTTTCCCAATTGACTTACAAAGCACCAAAACCAGTGGATCAGCATACCGACCATACAAGTGCAATTCTCAGTAAGTGAGGCATGATGTTACATCACAGGAGAGGTGCACAGACATGACGGTACATCTCACAGGAGGTAAGGACCAGGGGTGGACTGACAACTAACAGGGTAAGGCCCCGGTGCCATACAATCATGGAGCCCCTGTGTCCTTGCCCAAACTCAAAAAAGCCTATGAAAAAGGTACCAGGGGCATCTCATGAGGCCCCCTACTGACCCCAGGCAGTGCCTGAGTTTCCAAATGGTCAGTCTGCCCCTGGTAAGGACAGACATGACGGTACATCTCACAGGAGGTAAGGACAGACATGACGGTACATCTCACAGGAGGTAAGGACAGACAGGACGGTACATCTCACAGGAGGTAAGGACAGACAGGACGGTACATCTCACAGGAGGTAAGGACAGACAGGACGGTACATCTCACAGGAGGTAAGGACAGACAGGACGGTACATCTCACAGGAGGTAAGGACAGACAGGACGGTACATCTCACAGGAGGTAAGGACAGACAGGACGGTACATCTCACAGGAGGTAAGGACAGACAGGACGGTACATCTCACAGGAGGTAAGGACAGACATGACGGTACATCTCACAGGAGGTGTGGACACACATGACGGTACATCTCACAGGAGGTGTGGACACACATGACGGTACATCTCAAGAGGTGTGGACAGACAAGACTGTACATCTCACGGGAGGCGAGGACAGACATGATGGACAGCTCAGGAGGAGGCGAGGACAGACATGATGGTACATTTCATAGGTGAGGACAGACATGACTACAGCTCAGGAGGTGAGGACAAACATGACGGTACATTTCACAGGAGGCGAGGACAGACATGACACTCATAGGAAAGGACAGACATGACGGGACATCTCATAGGAGAGGACAGACATGACAGTACAGCTCAGGAGGTAAGCACAACTATGACGATCTCGAAGTCTTACAGTCCATCAGCGTCCGCTGTCAACTTGCCTGACCCCGTGGGAGTGTCGGGAGGGCGGTGACTGCAGGCGGGGGCGTGTACGCCCAGCGCCAATCGTTGTCCAGTGCTGGGACTCCTCTCGTGCAGCTACAGGGCGATGAGCAGAGAGGCCGGCTATGCCCCCGCCCCTCCCCGGAGCTCGCAGAGCGCTGCACAGCGCAGAGCGGAGTGTCCGGGCCGGCTCAGGATCTGGCGCACATCGGTCCCAGCGCAAGTCCCTGCCTCCCCGCTCCCCCCTCCCGTGTGCCCTCCCTGGGCGGCTGTACAATCCTCAGCAGTGACCTGAGACTGTATAGCCGGCCGGTCTCGGGATCGCCCTTCAAGGACTTCTACGTCTTCAGGACTTTTGTTTTTTGCTAGTTTGCTATTTTTATTCTTGTTACACTTTATTGTGTCTGTGGGGATCTGACTGTCCCACCCTCTGCAACCTGCTGCAGGAGAGCAAGATCGCCCGGAGAGCTGTCAGTGTGACCACCTGATCGGGGACATGACTGCAGAGAAGGAGAAGAAAAGGTAAGATCGGCCGATCATCGGGCTGTGCATGGACTGCCGAGTCCGGGCTGATCGCACTACATGTATCTGATTGTGATGGTTTTTGTACTTGGAAATGTAACTGCAAGTCCAGATCCTCACTGGATTGGACGGAGATGATGATCTGCATGCGATTATTATTTTATGGCCAGGAAGTCTGCAGACACAAACATCGCAACGATGCCATGCAAAGCTTGGTCGGCCTGTGTGGGTGGGATCTGACGTTGGGAAATGATATTTTGGGCAATTGTTACATATTATTGAGGTGGCAGTAAAAAGCTAGAGTATATGGTGGTATAAAACTGCAGTATAAAGCAAACGTGCAAAGCAGCGTAAAGGTAGAGCACGGTAGGGCAGCGTAAAGGTAGAGCACGGTAGGGCAGCGTAAAGGTAGAGCACGGTAGGGCAGCGTAAAGGTAGAGCACGGTAGGGCAGCGTAAAGGTAGAGCACGGTAGGGCAGCGTAAAGGTAGAGCACGGTAGGGCAGCGTAAAGGTAGAGCACGGTAGGGCAGCGTAAAGGTAGAGCACGGGGAGGCAGCGTAAAGGTAGGGCATAAGGGAGCATGAGGCAGTATAAAGCTAAAGTGCAAACTGGTATAAAGGTAGGGCACGGGGCAGCGCAGAGGTAGGGCACGGGGCAGCGCAGAGGTAGGGCATGGGGCAGCATAAAGCTAAAGCACGAGGCAGTATAAAGCAGGAGAATAAGGCAGTGTAAAAAGCTATAGTATAAAGCTAGAGTATGAGGTAGTATAAAGCTAGAGTATCACCCTAGGTTCACACCTAAGCGTTTTGTATAAACGCAGTACAGTTCATTTAACATGATTTACTATGAGACACATTCACATCTGCGCTTTTTTAGGGTCCGGGTTTTTTTTTGTTTTTTTTCCCCAACGCAAAAAGTTGCATTTTTGATTCTATAGACTTCAATGGAAATGCTGCAGAAAAACATGTAGCAGATTTTTGCTGTGTTTTTGAATCTGCCTAGCAACAAGAAAAACCAAAAAAAGCATCAAAAACACAGGTGCAAAAACGCAACGCAAAACGCAGTGCAGAAACCGCTAAAACCCAAGCTGCATAGGAGTGAACCTAGCGTAAGGCAGTGTAAAGCTAAAGTATAAGGCTGGCCATACATTATACAATATTCCAGAGATTTTTGCTTTAGATTTACCAAAAACCATATAATACGAGATCAAATATAAACAACACTTTTCAATTGTATCTAATTAGGCCGGCCCTTGTACTGCATAGTGGAAGGTAAATCTAAAGGAAATTGGGCAGAGAACTGTAAGATAATTGTATAGTGTATGGCCAGCCTAAGTAAATATAAATCTGAAGTATAAGGCTGTATAGAGCAATATACATCTAGCCATGCACTATACAATCTGGCTGTGCAATCTTCGTTATGGTAGCTGTACAGGCTTCAATCAAGGATCAATATTTTTTTCCAATCGCTGTCTTCTGGCGGCGTAATCGATCTATAGTTGACAACCCAATCATTTGATACACCACTCGCAGGGAAGTGGATTTTGATGGTCACCTCTCTGTATCTAGCATGTAATCTCATCTGATCAATCAGATCGCGATCATATTCATGAACAAAGTACCTCTGGGCTGCCGATCAATGCACAACGATCAATAGTTTTCTGCCCTGGCCCACCAGCTCTGTTTGATCAGTGGGCAGGGACGTTATGGCGGCTCAGTTTGCTCTTCCATGATTCAATAAACGATCGATTTTTTTTCTTTTCTGATAAGAATAATCAGTTTTTATAACTGAATCGTTCAATATGTCACCCAGAGGAAGTCTGCAAATCTGTACAATCTCGGACTTTATCTGGATCAGCAATTTGCAACAATAGACAGTGCAAGTGTTACAAAGTCTCGGGTTGTAGACTGTGCGGTGTGCAATTGTTGCATATTATTGAGGTGGCAGTACAAAGCTGCCCCACACACTATGCATTCTGATTGTACAATCTTCAATATTCTTTTCTGATCAATCCCGTCCAATTGGGATAATTGATCTATAGTTGGCAACCCATCGATCGATGGAGCTAAAGGAAGTCTGTAGACTGTATCGATCTGCACAATCTTGGACTTTATCTGTATGGGATCAGAAGTTGGCAATGATAGATGGAAGTGTTACGAAGTATGGAGGGCAGGGGCGGACTGACCATTTAGAAACTCGGGCACTGCCCGAGGGCCCGGGGTCAGTAGGGGGCCCCATGAGATGCTCCTGGTACCTTTTTCATAGGCTTTTTTGAGTTTGGCCAAGGACATAGGGGCCCCATGATCCCCTATTGCCCAGGGGCCCATGAGTTGTCAGTCCGCCCCTGATGGAGGGTGCAGATTGTTTGTGTGCTATTGTTGCAGACAATTGTTACATGTTTACAATCTGACTTCTTTATGGTGCCCATACACACCTCGGTAAACAATCATTTTATTCTTTTCGGATAGTTTTCTTCCAGTTGAAAAAATGGATCTATAGTCAATAACCCAATTGAGGAATAATTGATCTAGAGTCAACAACACAACCAATCAATATGCCACTCATAGGAAACTGGATTGTGATCGGTTTTTTCCACTCTGTAATCTCATAATCTGATCAAATGGATTACAATTGTATTCATGAGCAAAGTGCTACCGATCAAAACGATCAACAGTTTTCTGCCTTGGCTGATCGATTCAGTTCCATGGATTGGGAGGGAAGTTATGGCTGTTCAATTTGATCAAATGCTTGGATAATCAAATCTGATGGTGACCATACACCGTTCAATTTAAAATCAATCAAATCTGCAAACAATTGCATAGCCTTAACTTCCATTCCAATCGGTTTTTTTACATACAGCCAAACTGAGCCGATCGATCAAATTATATGGTGGAAACAGAGATGAGATTGGTCATTTATGGGTTGTATTGATCGAGAGCCACTTCCCTGTGTGTGGCAAATTGATCAAATGTGTTGTCGCCTATAGATCAATCAGTCCTATTGGAAGAGAAATCGATCATTTATCAGCCCTTCTATGGCCACAATTAGAGATACCAAAACCATAAAATACGAGGACAAACCTAAACCATCCATTAAGGCTCCATGCACGCTAGCTTAAAAAAAAAAAAAAAAAAAACGTCCGTGCTCTTGGCAGGAAAAAACGTTACTTTTGAGTATTTTCTTGTACAAGAATTTAGGAGTGTTTGCGTTTGTTTGTGGGTTTTTTTTTTTTCTGCCAGATAAACGCTCTTTAAAAAAAAAAAAAAAAAAAAAAAAGCTAGTGTGCATGGAGCCTCAATTTGTGTGTACTCAGGAGGCCCTTGCACTACATAGTGGTTGTTAGATCTAAAGGAGATTGTACAATCAGATTGTATGGTGTATGGCCAGTTTAAGATTTTGCTTTGTGCAATTGTATCATACTACTGAAGCTGCAGTGTAGAGCAGACTGTGCTGTGTATATCTGTTATTTGGTGTCATCACTTGTTACATTGTTTGTTTGTTTTTCTTTTCTGTTGTTCTGTTTTGAGAATATTAAGGGCCAGTTCACACTATAGAAATGCAATCCAGATGGGTTTCTGCATGTGCGATTTTGATGTGTTCCAGTCAGGGGTGGACTGACAACTCATGGGCCCCCCTGGGCAATAGGGGATCATGGGGCCCCTGTGTCCTTGCCCAAACTCAAAAAAGCCTATGAAAAAGGTACCAGGGGCATCTCATGGGGGCCCCCTACTGACCCTGGGCCCTCGGGCAGTGCCCGAGTTTCCAAATGGTCAGTCCACCCCTGGTTCCAGTTCATTTTTTTTTTTTTTCCCCCTCTTTTTCTGTGATTTAAATAGGGACATGTGCGTATTTTGATGCGTTTTACTGCGTTCCAGTAAAGTCCTGTGCAGGACAAATGCAGCATGTTCTACTTTTTCTTTTTTTTTTTTTTTTTTTTTTTTTTTTTTACTGCAACACACTGGAGCTGCAAGCACTGATGTGCACAATGACATTGACAACCACATAACCTACTTCTGTGCATTTTGGATGCAGAAAAAAAGGTACACTGAAGGGCATGGAGTGTGAACTGGTCCTTTCTAATATTGTGTTCCAATCAGAAACACATTCTCTCTCCTCGTATTCCTTGTTTTCCGGTTGTGTGTGTGTTTGTATCTGAATCTTGTCTTTAATGATCACAAACAAATGAGCACGTTGTAGATTTATGACATCAGAAGAGCATTAGATTTACACCGGCCTTGTTTTCCTGATTAGCATCGATCGCTCATTTGTTGGTTTGCTTTGCAAAATATTCCCTGGACTTCCCTCCCCCATCAAACACGTTTTTAGGAAGGTACAAAACAAGATTTGCATGTTTAATATTTGCAGTTGATTCCAATTCTACTGCATTGCTGGTTTTGGTGGCGTATTTCAGGAGGAATATGTTGAAGTAGTGTTGTGCCAACCCCCCCCCCCCCCCCCACTTGGTTCAGGGTGTTGCTGGTAAGATTTGGCAATAAAGTTGACAGGAGGAAAGATCAGTGTGTGTGAGGTGTGCATCAATATTACAGCTTTATACATTGGGGGCAGCACAGTGGCTAAATGGTTAGCACTTCAACCTGGCAGTACTAGGGTCATTAGTTAGAATCCCAACCATGGCACCATCTGCCTGGAGTTTGCATGTTCTCCCTGTGCCTGCGTGGGTTTCCTCCAGGTACTCCAGTTTCCTCCTCCCACACTCCAAAGACATGCTGGTAGGTTAATTGGCTCCTGTCTAAATTGTCTCTAGTATGTGTATGTATGAATGTAAGTTAGGGACCTTAGATTGTACGCCCCTTGAGGGTTAGGGACTGATGTGAATGTACAATATATATGTAAATTGACAGCACTATAGAAGTACCTGAAATAAATAATTGTACACAGGGTAATCAGTGACTATTACTGCATGAGGTAGAGGGGATGAAGGGGTAGAGGGGTGCATGGACCCTCGGGGTAGAGGGGTTCACAGACCCCCTTCCCCCAGGCAGAGGGGATGAAGAGTAAATGTTATCTGCCTCGAGAGAGAGGATGAAGGGTGCATAGACCCCCAGTTATAGGGAATTCAAGGGTGCATAACTACTGGATGAAGGGTGCAGGGACTACGGGATAGAGGGGATGGAAGGGTGCTCGGACTACGGGATAGAGGGGATGGAAGGGTGCTCGGACTACGGGATAGAGGGGATGGAAGGGTGCTCGGACTACGGGATGGAGGGGATGGAAGGGCGCTCGGACTACGGGATGGAGGGGATGGAAGGGCGCTCGGACTACGGGATGGAGGGGATGGAAGGGCGCTCGGACTACGGGATGGAGGGGATGGAAGGGCGCGCGGACTACGGGATGGAGGGGATGGAGGGGCGCGCGGACTACAGGATGGAGGGGCGCGCGGACTACGGGATGGAGGGGGATGGAAGGGCGCGCGGACTATGGGATGGACGGGATGGAACGGGACTGGAAGGGGGCGCGCGGACTACGGGATGGAGGGGCGGGGATGGGGATGGGGCGCTCGGGACTACGGACTACGGGATGGAGGGATGGAGGGGCGCGTGGACTACGGGATGGAGGGGCGCGCGGACTACGGGGGATGGAGGGCTGGAAGGGCGCGCGGACTACGGGATGGAGGGGATGGAAGGGGGCACGGACTACGGGATGGAAGGGGGCACGGACTACGGGATAGAGGGGATGGAGACTACTCGTGAGGAACTATAATAAATGATTAAGGTAGACCAAAGGTATGGCATGGGAAAAAAATGTAAAGAATGAGAGAGAGATTCACTATCATTTATAAATTGTATAGAAATCCATCCATAAATAACTGCACTCCAGAAGACTTGGCCACCAAGGTAAAATTCAACAGTGTAGTGTGTTCAGGCCGACCTAGGGTTTCCATCTCATCCATCAAATCTTCACAAACAGTTGAGGAGAGTACAAGGTGTCATACATGTAGATATAGCAGAAGGTGAAGGTCCTTCATATCCTCCTAGATCAGTGGTGGGCAACCTTTTTTTTCAACTGAGCCAAATCTCGCCAAAATCACGATTGAAATTTATATTTTGAGAGCCACATTTTTAAAACTGAAAATTCATCCCCCATATAGTAATTCATCCCCCATATAGTAATTCATCCCCCATAATAGTATATTCATTCCCCCATATTGTGTCAATTCACTTACCTTTGCTCCGTGCGTTCCTCTCGCCGTGTTCCCGCGCCGTTCCGGTCTTCAGGGCGGACTGTGAGAGGAGAGGAGTTTGTCACGCTGCCCCGCCTACATCCTGACAGCCAATGTTTGCCACGCTCCGCGAGCCGGATTAAAAGGTCCGCCGGGCCGTAGTTTGCCCATTGCTGGGCTAGCTGCAGAGTCCTGACTTTTGGGGCGGCCGCCCGAGAGGAGGGAGGGGAGCGGGCGCCCGGCACACAGAAGACCCTATTGCCTGTCACCTGGTGGGCAGTGTGCTCTGGAGCCGCAGCCAAGGTGAAAAAGAGCCGCATGCGGCTCTGGAGCCGCAGGTTGCCGACACCCGTCCTAGATTGTAAACTGGAAAGAGCAGGACCCTCTCAATCCTCTCATGTTTTGCATTGTATTGGTATTGTTCTGTCACATGTTCTGTCCCCCTTTGTAATGTACAGCGCTGAGCGAACTATTGGCGCTTTATAAATACTGTATAATAATAATAATAATCCCTTTAAAACCGAACATGTATTAATGACACAGATTATGTGGCTGGTTGAGGTGGTAATTATACTCGGTTTATCTGCATTACATGAGCCCCAGAACCTGTGTAATTAATGTGTCCGGGTTTAATGAGATGGTAACTGTAACTGCACCCCGGCCGTCACTCTTGTTAGAATGTGTGGTGATCATCTCTCTCTCCTCCTATTAATATATTCCTATCATCTTCTCATGCATTTAATGCGGTGCAGTTTGGGAAATGGCCACATGCAGTTTTTTTTTGGATGCCGTAACTACTCCTCTTGCCCACAGGAAAGGCTGATCAGGGCAACTAAGTATGTGTTATATTCTCGTTTATTTGGTCTTACCTGCACCATGAGAACGCTTTGTTTTGTACGTTATTTAGCTAACTTGCTTATTGGTAAAAAATGCATTTTAAAAGTGTGCGTTGACATGCAAGAGAAGCACATCAAAAACGCATAATGCAAGCTAGAAATGACCTGGCAGTACTAGGTTTATTGGTTCAAATCCCAACCACGGCACCACCTGCCTGGAGTTTGCATGTTCTCACTGTGCCTGCGCGGGTTTCCTCCAGGTACTCCGGTTTCCTCCCACCCTCCAAATATATGCTGGTAGATTCATTGGCTCCTGTCTAAATTGGCCCTAGTATGTGTATGTATGAATGTGAGTTAGGGACCTTAGATTGTACACCCCTTGAGGGTTAGTGACGGATGTGAATGTACAATATATATGTAAAGTGCTGCGTAAATTGACAGCACTATATAAGTACCTGAAATAAATAAATAATACAAAGCGCACGTCTTGAATTATCCGCATGTTTTTGTGATGTTCTTAGATTTAATGCAGTTGGATTCTAGCTGCTGGTGACTCAGGCTCCATGCACACGGCGTTTTAATAATGCTGGTAACGTTAGCAGTATAAACATGTTAAAAATGTGAGTTTGTGTATTAGCGTGTAGCTGCGCTTTGCTGCGTTTTTTCACCTTTTCATTTTTTTAGCTTTTTTTTTTTTTTTTTTTTTTTTTTTTACCAGAAATTTTTTTTTTTTTTTTTTGGGGGGGGGGACGACAAAAAAAGCTGGTTTGCAGCGATTTACTGCGTTTTACCACATTTTTTTTTTCAGCGTTAGTGCTTTTACAGCTAAAAAAACTCCTAGTTCTGGGTTTTTTTCCAGCCAAAAAATGTTGATTACAGTCTGTGTGTATGGACATATAGGATAACATGCTGGGGGGTTTACTGGCTGTAGAAAAAAAACATCAAAAGCCAAAAACGGCCGCTGTAAAAACGTCCCGTGTGCATGAGGACTAAACCAGAGATGAGGAATTCAGAGACAAATCTGCTAGCTTGCGTTATTTACTGGTGACGCGATATCTAGACCCTTTTGGAACCCGTCGATGTTTCCTAAGCAGAGCTGTTCCTGCAAAGATAGGTGTCTGTAAATGGAGCTCTTTTTGTCTCTTCCATGTTGATGCTAGGACCACAGACCATTTGTTCCTGTCAGAAATGTGATTGTTATCTCTTTGGACGAGTTCTTTCTTGAAGAGGTTGAATCCTTTTATGACAAAGCTTTAAATAGCTTGTTTAAGATGGCGGCTCTTGGATATGTGGGAGATACTTGAGTCATAAGGGCGAGATGAGAGCTTTAGGGGTAAAAAAAAAAAAAATAACACGGGTTATGGGTTGGATGACGTGTGCTGGTTTATGCGTTTTTGTGAATAGGATCTCTGAACATTGCTTAGACCAGGGATGGCCAATTCCTGGGAGCCAGGAACCCAATGTTCCCTCAAAAGGACAACTGGTGCCAACCTTTTGAGGGGTTGTCCATGGAGTTCCTAGAAATAAATTCTGCCAACTCCTGGATTGGACTGACTAGCTCCTGAATTCTATGACATTGGCCACTACTGTTTTCAAGGGCTTGTTCAGACGTGCCACCTGGTGGTGGTAGGAGCAGGAAGCTGAGTCGCAGTTCTTCCACTTTTCGACCCTCAGGGCTGTACATGTGCCGTGGCAAAAAATTAAAGTACCACCACCAAACCTGATCCAAGTGGGTGAATGAGTCCACACCGCAACATGGTTGTGGGCA